AAAAAAAAAAAAAAAAAAAAAAAAAAAAAAAAAAAAAAAAAAAAAAAAAAAAAAAGGGACAACAAAATTGTAGTCTCTCTGAGCCTTTCTAGACATTTTATTTTACAGGTTCATGAAGTTTTGTCAGTCAAGACACAGAGACACACTGGTTCAAGTAAAAGTACATCTATCCTAGTATTTGGTACTGATTAATAAGAGTTTGAAGAAAGAAAAGAAATTGGGTACAGAACCTACTCTCACAGAAACTTGATTTAGGAACATCTTGCACCAAAGATTTTAAAATTGATATTCCCACTGGACTTTTCTTCCACAAATACATCTGCTCTCTTCTGAACTTATCTAAAATCTTGACATCTGCATATGCCATGACTTTAAGTTCTACAATGACACTCTGCACTATGTGAAAATTACATCTTACCAGTTGTTTAAACCCTATTGCATGAACTGTTCATTGGATGTCCCCTTGATTTCCTGTGAGGCACAAGGAATGATCATTCTCTCTTCACTTTCTCCCTCATTATAGTCACAATTTTAGATCATATCCCATCTTCCTTTATTCTTCCACATTGTTCTCCTTATCTTTCTTCAGGCCAAAGAGTTTTAGTTTTTATAAGACAAAGACCTTGCCAATGTGCTTGGATTTTTAAGACCTTCATTGTCAAGCACCTCATTACCCTTTAGGCAATCATCACCTTCTTCAAGAAACTCTGTTAGATTTCTTGGACTTATTTTTTCCTACAAAATCCAAGTTGAAACTTCTCAATTACCTCATACTTAATCTGAGCAATTTTTTGCTTCTGAAGAAAAATGTTTCAAATTGCATCTTCAAGGAGTTCCCAAAAGATGAATGCCTCAAACTGATGAATAGACAAATTATTTGAAAAATTTCTTATAGAAAAATATGAGAGAAATGCTGATTATTGCCTTTCTTTTGGGAATTATTAACTTTGAGTTGAATAATTTAATAATAGTATTAGCATACCACCTCTTATAAAGAAGACCAATTCAAATATTAAAAGAAAGCTTTGAAAAATCTTTGTCAAGATTTAGAAACAAATGCTACATTGGTCTATTTTTTTAAATTAATAAGACACACATCATAAAACATATTTGAGGGATAATAAGACAGAAAAAGTACAATGATATTCTTAACAGCATATCAAAAGCCTTCTAGACCAAAGCACCTTCACTTCTCTCACAGCTTTGCTACCCCTACTAAACTCAGAGAGTAAACAGCAAAAATAAAAGTATATTTTCTATGCACTTTCTCTGAATTACACCATTCACTTGAATGTAAATGTCCAACAGTAAAAAAAAAAAAAAATCTAAACCTTTCTCTAAATACATTAGCCTTTGCATTAGACACCTCTTACAAAATCTGACTAAATCCAATGTGAGGTAGCTGTTTGCTGACATTCACTAGAATTTATAAACTTTGCATGCTCATATCTCATCTTTTGCATTTTCAATCGTATTTATCTCATGTTTTCAGGACTACAGCAAGCACTAAATAGTTCTTGCTTCCTATTGATTTAATTAAAGCTTATGCTTCAGTGAGACCACTACGCTTTAAAATGAAAGGCTTTTCATGTATTCTGTAAGGGGTTACATCTCTAGACTTGGTGAGGCTTCTTTGTGCTACAACCTAGATGGCACATCCAGGCTTTAAACTAACTTAAATAGTCAGCAGGGGATTCCAGTGATGCTGGAGATTAGCTGAGCTGAATGCAGTAAAATTAATGTCTTATTTAATTCCCAGCTCCACCAAAGGGCGATGTTTAAGATGAAGGACTATAATTGATGCTAAATGAACTTAGTGGTCTCTTGACTGCCAAAGAAAACTTACTGGAGATATTATAGGTCTCCCTATAGGAACATACTATAGGGAAATGCTTTAAGGTACAGACCAGATACATTAAATCCATACAAGATGAACCCTCTCCCTATCCAGACCATCTAAGACATTGGGGACATGGTAAACTGAACACCAAGTCAATCCTTTCTATGTTTCTATCATTAGAAGAGTACCATGACAGCTGACACAACAACAAGAACAGGAATAAAGGTAGTAACTTACTTTCCAAAAAGTGAGAATCTGCTACTTCTGTCCGGCCTTGCATCAACTACATCTTCTCCTCCCTCTTGAGGAGAGTGGTCACTGTGCTGATCTTCTGACATCTACAAATAAAAGTGCAAGAATGCAAGTGTCTCTCAGTGAAAATCTTCCATAAGCCAAACCATTAAATCAGACACATGTGAGGTTGTTAGTTATATAACTTCTAACATTCCATCAAGTAGGAGTGTCTACAGATTTCTGGCCCTGAATTGAAATGGTGTTGCTCATGGTCAGCCATTTGTATTGCTTTGTGGCAGTTACCAAAACAACTTGTCAAATACCACTCTCAAAAATGCAGATTAGAGCAGAACTAAAATTAATTTTAGGGTGAAAGATCACAGAATCATAGAATATAATCATAGAATAAAATCATAGAATATTTGGAGTTGAAAGGGATCCACTGGGATCATCACAGTCCAACTCCTGGCTCTGCACAGGACAGTCCCAACAATCACGCCATTGTCCAAATCCTATGAACAATTCCCATAAAATTTTTCATGGTCTGCAAAGAAGTAATTGGGATGAAACCAAGGGCAACTAACATTAAAATATTTGTATTTGCAATTCTATCCAGGACTAAATCACCCAGGGAGCTCTCGTGTTTTCATTTGTATATACAGTCATATGTGCATAAGTGAAAAAACCCTGTGTTATCTTCCAGGGATGGTTTTAATTTAATCTAAATCACTAAGCCAGCTGAAAACTACCAGAAGGAGTAATTTTTTCTGATAGCACAATGCTCTGCACCAGCTGAGCACAGGTGGGAGCTGGGAGCGCAGGATTCCCACCTTCGCTCCCAGCGGGATGCGCTGAGCCATCCTGTCCAAGTCTGGCTCCAGATTCTCATAAGGAAAAGCAGGAGTGCTTCCTCCCCCTTCCCCATATTTAGGCTGAATAAACTAGCTTTTATCATCCATTTACTGAGAAGACCACAAGTATAAAGCCACCTCGAATCCCACGCCGGAGACCTCGCAGCAGCAGCTCAGGGGCCACCAGTGACCCCACGGCTGCCAGTACCACCCCGGCCGGGAGGCTGAGGTTTGGGAGTAACAGCAACTCCCAAAAGCTGGGGGTCTAGATTCGGCTTTGAACAACAAATACACTCCCAAATCGCCTCGTTAAAAAGCGGGAAGCGAGGAGCGCGCAGGCCGCGGGTGGGGCAGGGAGAAAGGAGGAGCGCGGGGGCTGCGCCGGGGAAGCGGATCCACCACCGGGAATGCGAGTGGGAAACAGCGCCGGGCTGGAGGCGCAGGGCAGCGGGGCAGGAGGGGGGAGACAGAAGGGGCGGCGCCTGGGAGGGGGTCGGGGCTGGGTCTTGCCTTGGCGATGGGGTCCGGCGAGGCAGGAGCGGGAGCGAAAGCGAAACCCAAAGCGAAACCTAAAGCGAAAGCGGCGGGCGGTGCCCCCGGGGCCGGCACCGGGGCGGGGCGAGCTCCGCCGGCCTGTCCCTACCCCTGTTCTTGCCCCTGCCTCTGTCACTGGCACTTTCCCGCTGTCACTTTCCCTATCTCTGTCAGTATCCCTATCCCCGTCCCTGTTCCAGAGGGTCTCGGGCGCGTCCCCCTGGCCGCCCTCGCTTCCCAGGTAATGAGGGCCACATCACAGCGAAACCGAAATTGCCACTTCTTTAATAGCTATGCCCCGTCACACCCCCGAGAAAGGAGAGCCTTAAGTTTCATGGTGACACGAGATTGTCTAGATCTAAGGAAATTTTATCCCCTGGTATAAACTTCAGTGGCATTTCCTCATCTTCCCAATTATTCTGTGTGTTGCATCTCTGCTAATTACGATATCCTACTGTGTAGCCGTTGCATCAGGCCCAGCAGTCCAGTACACGGACTGAAGATTGGCACAGTCTTGCTAATTACTCCTGAATGTAGGCTCCGATCCCACAAAATCATACACCTACCCAGCGGTGCGCGGTGTTTAACATTCACTACCTGAAGAGATTTACATCAAAGAGACATTTTTCAGTGTAACTGCCTCATAATTGGCACAAAACACAGGCATGGTAACAAACAGGCTTTCGCTTCACGACAGGTCACTGCTTCGATGCGATGGAGGAGCGTCTGAGCCGCACGGGGCTCTTGCCACGTGTCTGCGTGCTGCCGCTGGGACCAGGCTCTGCTTCATGGGGTTGTGCCTGGAGCTTCTGGCTGGATACATAGCCAAAGTTTTCTCCTGTAGAATCAAACTAACAGAATCCCGTGGTTCCTCTCGTGCCACCTCTCGTGGTTCTTTTCAAGAAGGAAGCATCACTCCTAAACCTGTAATCGGTCATCATGGAAAACAGAGCCACTGGAAATGTACAGGTTGCATAGAGGGGAGAGTGCTGTCACCAGCGATGACTGGCAGTGGCACCTGAACTTCAGAAAATCCAAATATGCTTTCCTAGTGATGTGTATGGGGGTTACCTAGGAAATCCAGAAGCTATTGTCTTCTATATCTTGATGAAAATGTGTATCCACTACCACCTGGCCACCACAGCCAAATGAGCAGACCCAGAAATGGCTTTTCTGTAAAGGTTATTGTATTGCTATCAAAAATGTGGCCTGATAATCCTTGCCAATTTTCGAGAGTTTACCAGTAGAATTGGATATGGGGCATGCCTGTCTCAAATGGTTTCTTTTTTCTTTTCACATTAGTAGCTGGCATTCACAAAGAGAAAGTTTGATTCCTCAGTGTGCTGCAATACCTTCTTCGATACATGTTAATGTTAATGCAGTATAAGGTGCTAGACTTCTTTTTCACAAAATCTTGCTTGTTTTCAATATGGAGTAAGGAAGAAATTAAAAAGATAGAAGAAGTAGGAGAAAGTATCTTGCTTCAGGGTGTGGAGTGACTGCCAGCTAGGGAAGGGTCAGGAAGGAAAAAACTTCTCATATGTAATATTACACAGCTGGCCACATGCATTACTGGGCAGGGGGGAGAGCCAGCAATATGATACTTATACCCTTAGCACTCCTTTTCTTATCCCTAGAGACTCACTCTACTCCCTAAAAACATTAATAATGAAGCCCTTGACTGGATATTTGCATTGTCAAAAATAAGTATTTAACCACTGCGTAAGCGGCTGCAGGATGACAGTGGAGTATGCCTTTGGGAAATTGAAAGGTAGATGGCAGGTACAAGGCTCCAGGCAACTAAATAGTACCTGTCTGGAATAATAACTGTGGGCTGTGTTCTGCACAAAGTCTGTGAAAACAAGGATGGGGCTTCGCTGAGACCTGGGAGACAGGTGTGGGGACACTTTTAGGATGGAGGATTTGAGTGACTCACAAGGTGCTCACTCCTAAATGACAGTTGTTAGGGGTTTTTATGTTTTCCAAGAAAGGATGGATGGTTTTGAAGTGCTGTGGGGAATATGGGGGCAGTATGGTGTGATTTGGCACATCACAGCTTTATGGAATTCCATAGAATAATGCATCTCAGTCAGCTTGGGGTATGTGTTTTTGTGGGATTTCTCTGAAGTCAGGCAGAGCTGAACTGTTTCACGTGCCATGTTTTAGGAGTTTTAAACATGGGTCTTTTTTATGTTATGATACACAATAAATGGGCACATTTGAACACTGGTGGCCTCACTGTGTGCACATGGGCTATGCTGTGCATGCTTTACACACATTTCTTCAAGCTTTCAGCTTAAATAGTAGCACATCCTCATCAGTTCTTTCTCTGCTCTCTAACAGTGATGCCTCCTTCTCCTGTTGGTTCTTTTTTCCTTTTCTCTTTTACTTTAACTTGCTCTATTAAAAGAATTTGCAAAATCCCTACACTTTCAGGTTTTCCTGAGAATGGCAACAGAGGGAAAGTGTAAGCATAAATCCTTTTAGTCATGAAATGTAAGCAGCTGTTGATTGGTTTCCAAAACAGCAAAAATATAAAAAGCAGTGGTATGCATTTGGAAGGTGGTTCCTTAGAAGTTTTTCTTTAGGTCTTGGGAAATTTTGGTGTTGATAAATCTTTTCCACCTTTTTTTCAATATTTTTGCAAGCTGGATTTGCTAATATGCTAAATTTGATTAGCATGGAGAGACTGGATGAGGCAAAAGACCCTGAGCCCAGGTAATTAATCAATCATGGGATTCAGAAAAGGTTATAAAGAGGCTGATCTAGTATTTGAAATTTTACAGGCAGCTTTTAACAGTGGGTAACACTCCCAGTTTGTGTAGTGAATCAGCACCAGTTTTGGTTTTTTGTTGGTTTTTTTTTTTGCAAGTAGAGGGAAGATAGGGTTGTCATAATTTGTGGTGTCTGACTTCCCGCCATTCATGTGGTTGGAAGGGCACAGCTCCTATTCAGGAGGGACAGAGGGGGTGACCCTGACTTGAATGTCTCTCACGAGGTTACTTTGTGTAACTAATGTGTGCTTTTCAGATTCAGATTGAGGATGCAGACGTGCTCCAAGTTTTCTGTGCAGTTAATTCAATGAATTTAAGGAGGTTGGAGGGGTAACAATGTTTCTTCCTACTAATTTGCACTTTCAAGGTTCTGTCTCCTTGTACTTTGTGTGTAACTACAGTACTTTTAAACCACATTGATTAAGGTTCTACTGTTAAATAAAGCCTTTTAAGATTTTCATTGATATCAAAAAGCCTTTATGGGGCCTTACTAAAGGAGGAAAAAAGCCACAATGAGCTTTTAACTGAAGAGAAAATGTCTTGCTAAGATTTATCAAGATAACAAACTTGCACCGGTTTTGTGATTTAATTCCTTGCATGATCAAAATGCAGTGCGTACTTTGTAATGAGACCATACAATGCTTATTTTTCAATACGCTCTCTTTTCTGTTAGCAACTCAGCGTTAATCCAGGGTGGTGAAGAACAGACCAGGCAACAGGAACGTTTTGAGGTGCTCAGAAATGGGGAAATCTTCAATCAACTCCAGCAGAAACTGTGCACAATGGATGTGAGGGAAGTAGCGTGGCTGGGAAAGATAGTGACTGTACATTGTGGCTTATCATGCTTCTCCTCTTGAACATGTTGTAACCTGGGAAAAGCAGAAGAACTTGGAAAATGTATTTGCTGACTTTCAGCCAAGCTGGTAGTATCTGTCACTATGAAAAGAAACAGTCTTTGTATAACTTGAAATGAAATACTATTTATCTGTGAAATAAAGGGCTTCTAGCTGTCTGAGAAGCCTCTTGCAAGGAACACGTGGTCTCATTCCTTTCAGGGACCACTAATATGCTCTCTGGGTGCACAGTATATATGGGGTCTATACACTTATGATCCACGCTGGAGTCCTGCTCAGATGATCACTGTTCAGGTGGCTCCTGGATAAATTATTTGTTCTCTAGTTGCCAAGGCTTTATGTTTTGTGTGGTTCAGGCATGTCCTCCTTTCAGAACCTATCCAAACTCATTTTAGGATGGTCTTAAGCAATGTACTGTCTGTGCTGGGAGAGAAGCAGGTCATGCACCTTTATTCTTGCTAAAATGTGAGATAAGGGCTCTAGCATGGATTCAGGTGGTGTGAAGACGACTGGAGAAAATATACAGTATGGTGACTGACTCTTAGAGTACATGAACACAAAGAGGCAGCAATTGGTAGTGTGCCAAGTGCTAAATAAGGAGGGGACAGCCAGGCCACCGTGACCCCAATATAAGTCACTTGCATAAACAGAATGGCAATCTGGGACAAGATGCAAAGCTGTGTGAGAAGGGAACTGGAAGAATTCCAAACTAATTTTGTTCACAGGTGTGAGTGGGATAAATATTATTGTGATGTAACTTGGTCAACATAAATTGCTCTTGATCCCAGTAGGAATAATATGAGGTAAATCAGTGGTTATTTTAATACTAGAAATTATGTTCTGTGGGCATTTTTTTTTAGATGAAAATGCATCTGTTTATACATTGATATATCACTTTAAAAGACCTCAAGTGTTTTCAGGACTTTGTGCCACTGCTCTTCAGATTAGAGACTCTATTTTCAGCACACCAGTTGCTGACAGTACATTGTGCAAGTACATTGTCAGCATTCAGTAAAAGGAGTAATAACAAGTTAAGCAAAACTGCATATCTCTGTGGAGAGATGAATAGGAGGCTCTCTAAGCATACCCGGGAGGTTTAGACAGAAATGATTTTGATGGAATTGTTTGTAATTTACAGAAAAGAAAAGTACTTAGCAATATCCCAGGACTGCTGCAGGTGTGGGAAGTGGTGCAGATGCATGGATGACTGAGTAGACTTTTAATCAGATTGAGATAACTCTCAGCTGTGTCCCAGGGTTATGGAGCCCTGCAGCTGGAAGTATTATGATTAGGTGA